ATTAGGAAAGTAACAGCCCCGGTGCAAGAAAGGGCAGACATATTTATGGATACCCAGAAACGACCCCAAATTGATGACGAACAGGTAAATTTCTGCAATACCTGGGGTTGAGACGCCAACTAGTTATTTGGGGGGAAATGGATACCCTTTTGAATCATGCGCACAAACAGGTCCCAAATGCCCAGGACAAAAATTTTTTTAATGATAATAATTAAAGTTATAGAAAATTTGGAGGAAAAATACGTTCATTTTATGGATAGAAAGGGACTTCCTAAGCATAAAATAATGAGAGGCATGCACAAACCCAGCTCTGAACTCCATAAACATTTTAAGCTTCTCTGGCAACTGACAGCCAGCGTATATTCGTCAAAAACACCTGAACAGAAACACCTGAAAACATAACTGGCAAAGAGTTAACAGTCTTCGCTATGAAAACAACATGCAGATTAATACTTCAAAAACCACTAAGGTACTAAAAGATAAATGGATAAAGGATATGAACAGGAAGAGAAAACCCAAATGATAAATAAACATGTTTTAAAAGGTTCAACCCTGATAGCAATCAAAGAAATGCAAATAGAAACAATGACAACACACCAGCTCCTCCTTCCAGTAAATTATGAAAGATTTTTCAAACAACACTCAAAGCTAGCCAAGGTGTTCCCTCTCAGCCATTGCTAGGAGGAGTGCCCGTTGGTACGTTTCCGGAAAGCCATTTGGCAATCGGTATCAAGAAACTTTGACCCAGAAATTTCACTTCTGGAAGAGCAAAACCCGAAGGAAAAAAAAAAAATGTTCGATAAAGCTTCGACACCAAAACGTTCATCCCTCTTTGTGGAAACTAGAAATAATCTAAATGCCCAACGACAGAGAAACTTAACTAAATTCAGACACAACGGAGCCACTAGCAGGAAGTATCCCCCCAAAACTGTGAAATAAGGATGTTTTGCTTTTATCCTTTACACAGTTCTTTTTCCAAATGTCTACCCCAAGCAGTCATACTTCTGGAATCAGGTAAGAAATACATTTGCTTTTGTTTTGTGTTGTTTTTGACAGTAAAGCCCATTCTCATCTGGTCTCTCAAACAAGAGGAACATTCAACCATCTAGCTCAGGAGTTGGCAAAATCCGGCCCGACACTTGGTTTTGTAAATAAAGTTTTATTGAAACACCGCCACGCCCACTTGTTTATTGCGCCTCCTTGCAGGGTGGCTGCTTTCCCTCTCCAATGGCAGGGCTGAGTGGTTGCAACAGAGACCATCCAGACCTCAAAGTTTAAAGTATTTAACATCTGAGTCTTTGCAAAAACGGTTTGCCACCACCTGAGCTAGTGAATGTCTCCAGCTTCTTTCTAATGAACAAGCCACGAGAAATGACTTAGAACCCCCCAAAACCTCAACGTACCTTTCTGGCAGTGGCTGTGCGTCCAACACCGCTCCACAAATTGCCCGTTGATGACGGTGGCAGGGCAGTTGGTCTTGCCCTTCGCAGCGCCTGGACAAATGTCCCCACACTCCTCATTGTCGTCTTTGTTCAGCACGATGTAATTATCCTCCACGGAATCCAGGATGCGAGACCAGTCGATAGTGGCCAGGTAGCAGAGTTCATTGTTCTTCTCGATGCGAACGGAGCCCCGGGTAATGTTCATCAAGTTGTAGAGGCCAAGCTCCTTCAGGTGAACCATCTCGAAGATGACCAGCGCGTAGTTAAAGAAGAGGCGGGAGCCCCGGATGACCGTGAGGTTGGGGAACAGGTCCTTCAGGCTCTCCAGCCCATAGACCCGGAAGAGCAGCAAGTAATCAGTGATCATGATGAGCTTGGGGAAACTGAGGTCTCGGAAGTCCTCAGGTCTCGTTTTGAACATCAATAGGATCTGCAAATGTCCTTCGATGACCGAGCAGTTGGCCAGCTCGTGCAGCCGGGTGAGGTTATTCCGGATATCCATGCCGGGGCACACTAGAAGCGCAAACAAGCAGAGAGCAAGACAGGTGAACAAACACCCCCCGGATGGTTTATAAGAATTAGTGGCAGGGCCAGCCACATGAGCATGTGACCTGGGTGCCACGCCCGCTCAGAAGGGCCCTGCCCTTGGCTTACTGCGCTTCCGTCTTGAAATCCTTAATTATTTTTGAGTGAGGGGTCCCAAGGTTTCATTCTGCACTGCACCCTGTAAATTCTACAGCCAGCCCAGTTCAGTGGCTTTCTCTGTAAGGTGTCTGTGCCTAAGTAATTACTCCTGAAAGGCAAATCATCATCATCATCATTCCTTTGGCAGGACCCATTAGAAGCCTTAAAAGCATCGCATCAAATATGATGCAGTGAAGACATTGGGATTACAGGGGATTGAGTAATGCAGCAGGTGTGGAAGGGGAAAGGGGAGCCGTCCCCAGTGAGTTGGTGTGGAAGATCTTCAGGAAATGGATTTATGGGGATAAAGGTGCCCACATCAGAAATGGGGCAAGGAGGGCTTCCCTGGTGGCGCAGTGGTTGAGAGTCCGCCTGCCGATGCAGGGAACGCGGGTTCGTGCCCCAGTTCGGGAAGATCCCACATGCCGCGGAGCGGCTGGGCCCGTGAGCCATGGCCGCTGAGCCTGCGCGTCCGGAGCCTGTGCTCCACAGCGGGAGAGGCCACAACAGTGAGAGACCCGCGTACCGCAAAAAGAAAAAAAAAAAAAAAAACCAGAAATGGGGCAAGGAGAGCTGACTTTGTTTTGTCAATTCTCCCACTTTCCTAACACTCCTTCCCAACCCGCCCTCCTGGCAGGCAGCCAAGGTCTAATTACCTTTTACCTGGGTGTGGCAAGGGCTTCCCAGAGACTCTGATCTCCCCTGCACAAACACCCTGCACACCCATTCTCCTGCAGGTGGTCCCTCCCTTGCTCGGACACCCTCTATGTCTCCCCATGACCCTGCACTTTCCTCTCGCGGCCCTCAAGGTTCTGCCCCACCACCCCCTGCACCATGTGAAACAGGCCTGCCCACTACTCTCCAATTCCAAGGGGGCCTTCCCAAGCCTTCCCTATAACATGACCTATGAAGAGGAATAAGTGAAATAATGCAGGCACCCAAGCAGTGGCTGGCACACAGTACGTGCTCAATTAATGTCAGCTATTTTGTTGCTGTTCATTTCTCCCAAACATATCACGGTGTCACCTCTAGGCTCCGTGCCTTCATTCCCCTAGACCAGGGTGGGAAAATATTTTCTATAAGGGCTCAGATAGTGAATATGTTCAGCTTTGCAGTCAGTCTCTGTTTAGACTACTCCACTCCGCCATTATAGCTCAAAAGCAGCCAGAGACAGTGAGTGGATATGGCCGTGTTCCAATAAAACTTTATTATAAAAGCAGGCTGTGGGTTGGTGTTTCCCCCTGGGGTGGTAGTTTGGTGACCCTTGCCTTAGTCCAACAAAGTCCAACAGAACTTCTGCAATGATAGAGATGTTCTACATATGCACTGGCCATTATGGAAGCCACCAGCCATTTGTGGCTGTCTAGCCCTTGAAATGCGACTGATATAAGGCTGAGGAACTGAATATTTGATTTTACTTTAGATAGTGTAAACAGAAATAGACACATGTAGCTAGTGGCTACTGGACTAAACAGGGTAGCCCTAGCCCCTCTGACTGTCAAAGTCCTTTATACCTTAGCTCCCTATTTTGAAATCCAGCTCATCATCCTTCAAGATCCAGTTCAAATGTCACCTCCTCCAGGAAGCCTTCTCTGATTTCCTTTCCTCCATATACTTATTTGGATCTTTCCCTCCTCCTGTGTTCCTTATATTGGAGTTAACATTCAGTAGAACTGAATTCTTCAGACAGCCTCTCCTTGCCAAAACGCAAACACACACACATACGCTCACTCACTCAGAAATTGGGAGGCAGCTTCAAGGGGACCAGGATGGCAGTTCCAGCCCCACACACTCATGCCACCCAAGGCTGAGGCTCCCAGCTTCAGTCACATCAACAGCATCTACATACAGAGGTCTGGACAGGTACCACGCCACTGACACCTCCCAACAAGCTTCATCCGCACCCCACAGAAGGGAAAACTGGATCTCTAGGAGGCAAAGCCAGTCAGTCAAGGACAGACGACCCACCAGTAACATTCAGGGTTGCCAGACTTGGCAAATAAAAATGCAGGACGCCCAGTTAACTATGAATTTCAGATGAGCAGCAAGTACGTTTTAGGATAAGTATATCCCATGCAATGTTTGAGACATACTTATCCTTAAAAATTACTCATCGTTTATGTTAAATTCAAATTTAACTTGGTGTCCTGTATTATATCTGGCAGTATACAGCTTAGATTCAGCCACAGGTCCGGGCTTCTCAAGCCTGAGCCTCACACTCTATGTTTTACACACGCACACACACGAAATTGTGAAATTGATACAGGTACAAAGAACACCAGCCCACCATCCTCCCCAAGTTGTGTCAGAACCAAAATCAGATACGAATATGCATTCAAAGATTAACCGGCTGTTGGACATCCAGGAGATGTAAATCCAAACCACAATGATACCACTTCACTCCTACCAGGATGGCTAAAATTAAAAAGACAGACAATAACAAGTGTTAACGAGGATGTGGAGAAATCAGAACCCTCCTACATTACTGGTGGGAATGGAAAATGGTACAGCTGCTGTTGTGGAAAATAGACTAGCAGTCCCTCAAAAGGTTAAGCAAAGAGTTACCATATAACCCAGCAACTTCACTCCCAGGTAGATACCCAAGAGGAATGAAAACATAGGTCCACACAGAAATGTGTGTACAAATGCCCAGAGCATCATTATTCGTGATAGACAAAAAGTGGAAACAAGCCAAATGTCCATGAACTGACAAATGAATAAACAAAATGTGGCATGTCCATACAAAGGAAGATAATTCAGCAATAACAGGGGAGAAGCGCTGACACCTGCTACAACAGGGATGAACCTTGAAAACATCAGGCTCAGTGAAAGAAGCCCGTCACAAAAAACCACATGTGGCATGATTCCATTTACATGAAATGTCCAGAATAGGCAAATCCCTAGAAAGTAGATTAGTGGTTTCAAGGGGCTTTGAGAGGGGAAAATGAGGAGTGACAGCTAAGGAGTATGTGATTTCTCTGGGGGGTGATGAAAATGTTCTAAAATTGATTGTAGTGATGGTGGCCCAACTCTGTGAATGTACTAAGAACCACTACATTTAAACTTTAAATGGGTGAATTGTATGGTATTGAATTCGATCTCAATAAAGTTGTTATTAAAAAATTAAACAACTATAACTGTAGTGGACAACAAAGAACGGCTTTTTTCTTTTAAATCTCCAATGACTCTAACTCAACTCATTAAAGCTGTACGTGTCCCTATTAGTCTAAGACAATAGAGCAATTCACTGCGTGAACAGAAAATACCCAGAGGATGTTAGAGATGGTGCCAGCAGTAGATGTCAGACCTCGTACTGGCTTTTAATACCTCTGGGTGGGAACTGAAAGATGCTTCAGGTCCTCAGTAAGTGACACCTGGTTAATCAGCACTCTACACACAGGAAGGGAAGGGCCATGAGGACCGGGGGAGGATGGGGGGTCCTGGTGACAGCTAATAACAATTCCCACGTAAAGCACTTGGCCATGTTCTGGCAGGTACGTTCTCTTGATGAATTCTCAGAATAATCCCAGAGGAGGCGGATAAACGAAATGTGGTCCATGCCCATTTTTGTGATGAGCGGATCAAACTCACACAGGCTGAGTTTTAAGGGGTAATGCTAGGATTTCAACCCAGCAATGAAATGCAAAGTTTATGCTTGAACTATGTTACAGTTTCTCCGTCTTTGTTCTTTAAAAACATACCAAATTAAGAAGCAGGTGAATCTGACTTAAATAAGGAAACAATGAAATAATGTTCATGCAGTGACAACCTGGAGGAAGCTTGTTAAAGACAGTTTCTTTCGTTCACTCCTTCAGCAACTATCTGCTGAGGACCTGTTTCTGCTGTTCCAAGGACTGGAAGTGCTTCAAGGAATAGGACAAGAGGGATAGGACAATAGGATAGGGAGATACGTGTATACATAGAGCTGATTCACTTTGTTATACAGCAGAAACTAACACAACATTGTAAAGCAATTATACTCCAATAAAGATGTTAAAATAAATAAATAAAAGGAACAAGACAGAGTCTGCCCTGGATCTCACAGACTACTAGTTGCTATTAACTACCCAAATCAACTGAAAGTATAACTGAGGAGGAGATCTCAGTTATTCAAGGACAGCTTCAGGGGCTAGAAGAGATAATGAAAATGAGCTATTTGACTAAGTCCAGGACAATCAAGGAGGGCTTCCCGGAGGAGGTAACACCAGAACTAAAACCTACACAAACAGTGCAATAAGTTCTGCCTACTTCACTGGAAGGTCAAGAGCTGTAGCCTGTCGCTGTAGGTCACAAGGGTGTGTAGGGCCTAGAGCAGCCTTATCCAATAGAAACATGATGCGAGCCACACAGAATTTAAAATTTTCTCTATAAAGGTAAAAAAGAAACAGTGAAATTAAATATTCTTAATTTAACCCAATGTATCCCCAAACTTCACTTCAGCATGTAAGCAACACACAAAAAAAAATCTATGGGATTTTTTTCACGCTATGCCTCCCCAACGCCACATGTTTTATACACTTGCACCAGGTCTCAATTCAGATGCTACATTTTTATCAGAAATACTCAATCTGTATATGCAGATTTCACAAAACGAATCACTGAAAAGGTAGGTTCTTGGTATCCCCAAGTTGTTGCAAGCAAAAGAGTTGTTCAATAACAGAATCAAGCATTGATTTTTCTTGACATTTCAATCAACTAATGTTAAATAAGACTTTACATTCACATTTTTTACATTTAAATGAATTAAAGTTAAATAAAAGTAAAAATTTAGCTGCCCTGGCCATAATTTCAAGAGCACCATGTAGATGGTGGCCGCCATATTGGATGGC